AGAAATTTAATTTTAAATTACTTAAGTACTCCTACGACCAATCAGTCAAACTGTTACCAACCAAGAGTCTAGAATTCATAAAAACGCTTGTTTTAATGGCCTGCAGTGTATTCATTTATAGTTGTAGCCTTACTACAATAGGTAAATCATTTAAATCTTTGAGAAGTGGAACTGCTCACTGTAGATCAGGGCATGCTCTGTGGTTTTATGTGGTTTCTAAATGATAAGATCGGCACTAACAACAATCTATAAACATGCTTTATGTTTATAGTATAGTCAGTAGAAACTCTTATAGTCAGTAGAACATAGATATACAGATGACATTATGATTAATTCGTATTTTTATTTAACTAATAGTTTCCTAAGCAAATATATATCTTCTTAGCACACCCATGTTGTTCTTGAACCTTATTTCTTCAGCTACGAGGTAATCTTTGAAAGGTAAACGAGTATCGCATTATGCCTCGGAGACAAGTTTTAACAGTATTGAAGTGCAAATTTGAGTATTTTTTTAGGGGTTTCATAATTAATTAAACTAAATAATAAAATAATTCTAACTCGTCAATTTTAAAATTGAAATTATATAAAATGTGACAAATATTAGTTGTTATTAGTTTGAACCTTGATTTACATCAGTCTTAATCTGTACAGATTACACCACTCATGGATGGACCAACAATAAACTACTGCATGTTTCATTAACAAGAATAACTAATTGCTCAGGATGCACACGAGTGGTGTTAAAACTGTATAAAAACGACAACAAGTGGCGCGATCTATTTGTTCGGGAAGTTCACACATTTAAATTTTAAATCCCCGCTCCGTTACAACGTCACAGATGATGAGTTGATTAACGTGGCGGGACGAGGCGTTACAAAACCTTTGTTAACAACTCTTATATTTTCAGCTTTTGGCAAAGGTTTATCATATGTCCTCTCATCTTGCAAACGTTATGAAGAAAGGTATTTTTTTTTTATACATATCCCTGATCATATTGTTCGAATTATTTATTTGTGCTAATCATCGTCTATACGTGGAATATATACTTTAAAACCCTTTAACAGTAATATTTTATGCCAAATTTTTTACTACGATAAAAAGTTCAATTATTTTGCTAGATTTTTTTTAAGACAAACAAGAAACAAGTTACAGAAACTAATTTAGTGACCTACTTGAGAGAATAGTGCTGTAGGAAACAATATTTTTGTGTTGACAATAACTCATTGGTTATTTTCAATCCTTAACTTTGCCTCAGTCTAGCTTGTGTAGAAAAGATTCACTTTTGTGACTCAATTAATTTATTTAAATTTAAGTGGGTTATGGTGGGAAAGTTATTCGATTCAATTTTTGTTTTATGAATAAATAATTTGATAGGTTTTTGTAACGATGATACAATGAAATATCTGGTCTAACCTAACCTAAATCGATAAACTAACCTCTTTTGTTACTGACTTTTTTTGTTAAGAGATCCAACTCAAACCTATTTAAAGTAATATATTATCATATTGTCAATCGGTCCGTATCTAAAAACATTAAATCAACGTAGTTGAAAACCTCAATTACCACAACCATTTCAAATATTACACTTGTTTATCACCGCCACGAAAGAGAAGAGAAACGAAAGTCGAAGCTTAAATAATAAGCCAATTTGTCTCCACGTTCGCTGGTCGCGACTTTTACCCAGCATCTCACGTCATGCAGCTTTTTACTTAGTGACGATTGACGAAGCGGGACGCAACGAAAACGAAACGTCGACATGTCATCACGCTCCAGATGGTGCTTTCCTCTTAGTTGGCCCTCATTTACATCCGTCCTGCGGAGTTCCGTGGATCCGCTGAATTGTTCCGTCATCGGCCGGAATGATGAGTTTCTCTTTCCTTTCAATTAGATCGGGGGAGTTATGATTTGGGAAAAGTCGCAAAATCAGCGACTACAAGACTACAAGAGGTTCGAGAGAAGGTTTTGAAGGGATCATCATCTGTTCAATCCTGAGAAAATCAAGAGCAACTCACTTCATCGTTGGAGGTTCGATTCGACTACGATGTTTTCTTTTCTTAAATATTGTAACAGCTTAAAAAGGGATATGGAATTATACTAGTTCTGCCCATACTGGAATGTTAAAATTGTACTTTTCTATTAGCATTTATTGCGTATTGTAAATGTATTTATTAACTGCAATTTAAAATATGCTTGACCAAGTTGCGTGCACCATTTTTTTAAGATATGCGGAAACAATAACACCAATTTGCCGAAACATTACGCCTGCCGGTACAAAGCTTGATTAACTCTTTTGACTGACTCTCTCAGAATTCATTCTGGTTCTCATATTTCGGATAAGCAAAATCGGGAGCACACTTTCGGTGGAGGAGGGAATGGGATCGAAGCATTTGGTGGTAATTATTCACCTATGTTTAACGAAAAACGTATAATAGGAACTTTGATGGATGTCTAGATATGTTTTCTGGCCCGGAACAATACAGGGCTGTATTGCGGAGCTCTTTTCGGCACACCTGGACATTTTATGCAGCCGCTTAGCTTACCGGAAAACGGGGACACATAGCAATCAATCATACGTTTATAATGATACTAGTAAAAATGATCTCTCTGTACAAGCTGTCCCCAATCATAGGGTCTTTAAGAAGGATCTTGGCATAGCAACCACTCCAGCTAATCTTCGCTGGCAAAGGTCACTAATTCTAAACACATCCTTCTTTCATTTTATCCTCCTACTACGTGCACTTGTTTTGACATCGTTGTCCATAAATTTAATAACAACAACAAAATGCAGACACATACATACGATTCATCCTGGAGGATCTACCTCGAAGAATCCACCCGGAACGTTATCTATCTATGGTGCGATCAGAATGTGATCCGACAAAGCGACGAGTGAGTCAGCGGAAGTGATAGGTTACAATAGCAGGCGGTGATGTGGAGTGTGGAGTGTGGAGTGTGGAGTGTGGAGGTACCGCTGCTGACATCAAGGACTCCACCGAGGGCGAATGTCACTGTGGACAGCTGGATCAGTTACAACTGCATAAGGAGGTATTTCTGACCTTTGACACAGCGAGGTGTCACATTCGCAGCTGCAAACTTCATAAGGATTATCATAAGGAATGTTTGTTGTGTACACGCTAGGAGTACACGTTTTGGGGACATTGAACAGATAGTTGGGTAGCTGATTGGTAGTAGTGCTCATCTAGCAATCGGAAAGTCGTCGGATCGATGCCGAAAAAGTCAAATTTTAAATATGTGTATACTTAGAATTTTGTTATGTTTCGAAACTGAAACCAGAGCTCCTAGATCATTGTGCTTTTCTCATCCTGCCATCATACATGATAATAATAGTAGATGGTAATAGTCGTGGCTGGAGAAACAGCTGGTCTCAGTCAGTAACGAGGCTACACAATACCTCTTACACGCCATTCTACACTCGTTATTCGTTCATAGTTTCGTTAAAATACAGATAGTTACGTCTCCACCTTTGTTGGTATAGTAGAGTAAAAGTATTTTTAAAATGTGCTGTTAGACCTCACACCAATCCTAGGTCCGTGAACAAAATCCGGAAATAGCTGCGTTGCAATTCCATCATAAACCAGCGTGAACCTCGTCTAAAAAAGATACTTTACACAGAGGAAAGTAAAACTATCACTATGACAAAACACATGCTATGCCTCTTGAGGGTAGTTCTGGAATGGGCTCTGTGGGTACCAAATAGATTTATGTTAAGAAACCTTGTTAAGTTTAAATTAGTTTAAGTTTGAGTAAACCGTTAAGAAAAAGAGGTCAAACATGATATTGCCTTAATAGGAAACCCACAATAATTGGCATTTCGATAATATTCTAATCAAATCGTATCCATCCATAACTAGTGATATAAAATGCACTATTAATACACCGTCTTTTTATCTAAAACTTGGCAACTATGGCAGGGAAAATGAATTTATACTTTTATTCACAGTCACAGATATGAGATATAGAACTTCTGATTCTATTCCTTATTCATCGGAAGGAGTCACATACACAACCTTCAATATACACACAAGTACTCAGTGTCGGCGTCGTCATCAAAGCAAACGGTCACTCAGTCATAGAATACAAATACTTGGTGTGAGCAATCATGGGTATTGAATTGCAGGAAATGTAAATGTAGGAAGACTACGTCTGTAGTCTCCTGTGTAGGATGTGCAACAAAGGCAATCTTCATCTAAACTGTGGAGCAATATGTATTTATGGATCAGTTGATCGGCTGCAGTATAATACAATGTAGACTGTTGTGCGGTCTGTCCTCACTATCCAGTCAAGGACTTGCTGGAGAAGGCGCGATTGGACAGAAAAAGAATCAAGGAATGGAAGAGAAATCAAGGTTAAATTCAATTTAAAAAGTGAATGTCTAAAAATAATTTGAATGAAATTAATTTTTATATTTAGTCTCTTCACTGCCAGCGAGCTCCCCCACCTATGTAAGGAATAAAGTAGTTCGGAAACTATTTTATAACTATTTGTTAAGTATTTATATGTCATCCTTTTGGATCAACTGAAGGAGATTTCACGGTATCTATCTGGGAAACGTGGAAAGTTTGATGTTAACTATTTATTTCGTGTTTTAATGTAAAACATTTCCACCAATATGGCAATAACTTTTTTCACAATCATTTTATATTAAAGACTGTGGACAAAAGAAAAATAAATCATAAATATAAATAAGGGGAACGAACAGGTTGTATCTATAGGTAGTACTATATTTCTGTTCTACACTATCGCACATCTAATAAGCAGTCAACTAAACTAAAAGTTATCTTAAATCTAAAAACTGCAATAAATCTACATGTGAGAGCAAATGATCATGGTCACTTAATTTAAAATTCCAACGACATCTAAAGTCAACGCTTGACTTATAGACATAGGCTATCGTTTTCAACAGACGTTGAAATGGGACACTATCCACCCTAGTCGGAAAACAGCTGCTTTTGTAAACATTTAAACAAATCAAATGTAAACATATTCAAGGTAACAAGAAATCCTTTTCAAACCTTGGAAGTTATCAACCACCTTCTGAAGCGATGAACGAGAAGGATTTTACGACCGCAGGGGACGCCAACTGGAGAGCGGCCTGTGAGTCCGAGGCGAGGGCGAGGGAAGGCTGGCAGACGAGGTACGGATGGATCAAGCAGGAGTATGCTACCATGGCTCAGGAACTGCAGGAGCTGAAGAACCGCAGACCTCGGCGACAGACCTGTCAGGATACTCGGGACAACAGAACTGTGTTACCTTTCCCAGTTACCACAGCCAGAGAGGTGAGACCTGTGTCTAGTCTTGAAAAAAAAAACAATCACTAGAATTATATTAGTAGGTGGGCTCCATTGGCGTGATGGTTGGCATTTTGGATAAGTTGCAGAAACCCTTCTTCGGATCCAGCAACAATAATTCAACAATTACCTTTTACCTATAATATCCAATAGGTAGTCAATGGTTTTAGTTTAATTTGAACTACAGTACATTTGAATTTTAAATTTCTTAAAAAAAATTATCTTCACTGGTTAGCAGCTAACTGCTGCCTGGGAAAAAGTCTTTTGTCAGGCTTCAACAGCAAGTCTTACTGTGCAAAGTTTAAGTAAACTCTCTGTTCACTTAAATTCATTCTATTTGTCTTTGTCGTTATTTATTACGTGGGTATAGAAAACTAACTTAAATTCGTTCTTTTCATGAGCAATAGTTGAATCATAAAATCCATCGAGTTATTGGCCTATTGAAGAAGTGAATATGTGTATTCCAGATCGGATGGTTGTCTGGAAGACCTGAGTTCAGGCTGGAGGTTTTAGGACCTTATCCTTACACGTCCCAGGCTCGACCTCCTCTACACCCTCCTGGATGTGATGGGGCCCATGGCTGTTGAGAGTTACACATACAACCCTTGATACTAAATTTTTGTTGAAACAAATGGCAGCGTAACTTTAATAACTTAAAAAAAGAATTTAAATAAAATTATGAAGGGTTGTTTACTATATGTCGATTCATGTAGACAAAAAAGAAGAGAAACCCAGAACAGACCTATTACAAGGTAATCAATTTCAAGTCCTGGATAATTGTCAACGATCCAAAGGCTACACTGATCCTGCATTCTAGGCTTCAAATTTTTACATCAATTTGTATTTTAATCCATGACTTTATCCATTTCGAAGCTAGGGGTGTGTATTGCGAGGATTGCCATCACAAAATGACAGCATACTATACTCATGAGGTTAAGTTGCCCAACCTGGGAGTGGGTCACAGTTTTCCCGCCACCCTGGGAACTGTACCACCGTGCTACGCCTCTCTCTTATAGTATAATTAAAACTGAGCCTCGTTTTCACTCGATCTTGTCTAACTGTTTGATGAAGTTTTTCTAAGAAAGGTATACGAGATTTAAGATTGAATCAAAGAATAAAACCTTAGATTTACAAAACCTACTATGAATTATGAGATATTTATACCGTAATCAAGGAAAATAAGATCCCACAACAAAAACAAATTTAAATTTTGCATTCGGCCACTGATTCGATAAATTGTATTACTCACAATTTATTTTTTCCCCAACGAATTAGGATCCAAAAATTTAAGTTTATTCTTTTCCGACTACCTAAGGAAATATTTGAGCTTATGTCCTTTCAATTTCCGATAGTGTCGTCCTAACATATTGCAGAAGGCACTTATTTAAGACCATAACAATCTGGGCTTGTATATGAACTAAACAGAATAACCTAGCGTACTTTGTTTAAGTTAAGAAGAATTGCCTAAGATGAAACTAGCATTTAAAAATGAAACACCATGGCATTCGTTATGAGTTTCCGGAAAATTGCAACTTATTAAATTTAAAAAAATATGTGTAGGCTAAATTAAAGGTTTCGGTTGTAGTCTTGGAGCTAGCCCAAGTTCTTGCAGTGACTAATACTTCAAAGGAAGGAAGGTGAGAAGATTTTCTTACTGCTGATAGCTGTTCGAATTCAGCGTGAAAAATACTGGGTATTTTCTATAGTTTGGGCCGTTTAGGAGAACCAAACAAATTGTTAAAACCTCTTCTTTCTCATCATTTCAGTAAACTACAGTATGATATTATTAGTTTAATAGAAGTTAAATAGATGTCAAGAAAAGATAGACCACAAAATAACATTTTTGGGATAGATTTACATTGACCAAAAAATACTCTCAGAGTATAGTGATCCCCGAGCAAAGCTCGGTCCCCAGGTACTTTAACTAAATGGATAAGACTATCAACTTTTTGTTTTCAAAGAGAATTTTTGTTGCAGAGTGGAGTTTGTACCTTTAAGCAATATGTATGTTTTATCTAGCCTATTTGTATCTAGAGCTTGATGGTGTCGAATGTTTAATCCTTCATTCTGGACACATTACCAGCGGGTTTAGCTCTACGTACAGTAGACACTTGTTACAACTTCCACGTTGTCCGTTTGTACTCCGTACTTTTCCCGGGTTTCCTCCACTTATCATCGCGATATGACGCCATTGTGCGATGTTCCCAGACCTAATGACAAGTGTTAGAGTCACCATGCATCACCTCGCGACCCCACCTATAATCAGAGCATTGCAGAGGCCATCTTACAGCAGACACCATGTATTCTGTAATTGTTCGGACGATACCATCTTCACAGTGTGGCGTTGCCCAAGTCTTCCGTTCTCGCAAGATCCGGTCTTCGAACGTTCTGTCTGCTCAACTGACCCTTCTAATGGCTTGACACGCCAAGCGCTCTCCCAGGCCCTCTCACAGGAAGTTTGCAACTGGAGAATCGAACGGATCTTGAATAGTTGCAGTGAACAACCTGCCAAACTATACCTTGTGAAAAGTATAAAATGATAGGAAGAGTTTCTGAAGAAAGATGAATAAAGATTTGATCATCAGACCTTGAATGTGAAAAATGTTGTCAAGATTTTTATTATTTTCTACCTGGAGATTACCGTTTGCGATAGTTATAGCATTGAGTAGGTTCGCTTGTAGAATCATGGTAGGACTGCCATATTTCGGATGGTTTAAAACAGGACACACTTCCACTAATGTCATTTTTAGTGAGGTAATAGTTCTTTTCTATGTCTTTCTACTGTTAAACGCCTACCTGTTGTTGAACTGTGACATTGTCAAATGCATTTGCGTCCAGAAGAAATCATCTTCAGATCTGCTTTAGTCCTATGCTTATTGATTAGAGCCATTGGATATTTTTTTCACTCAAGAACAACTCTTTTTTTAATATTTAACATCCAGTAATTACAAGAAATTCAAAGTTATTTGAGTATTTTTGGAATTTCAGGTCAGTCTATTGACCCAAGAGCTCTTTAGGAACGTCGTAAGTTTTGAACCAAAACCTCCGACCGTGTCAGGTAATGGGATCCTATGTGAATATTTACCATAGCTATAATATAGTAGATTTATTATAATTCAGGAAAAATCTATCGAGCGTCAAAAAGTTTAGCCTACAGTTTAACAGACCAAGTACTAGATGATAATCCAACTTGAACTCGTTTTGGTACGACCCAATGAATTAAGGCTATCAATTAATATTATGCTGCCTAAAAAAACTGTTTGTGTTAAACAATTAAACATATTTTGTATTAAATAATTATAAATAAGAAAAAGGAATATAGGAACCGTTGAATTCAACTGACCAATGTCAACTTTACGTGTTCGCCTCAAGACATAGAAGTTGGTGCAACTCGGTCGGAAACCGCTACCAAGTGTATTCATTGCCGCTACTAAATGCTTTACGTCACCGGAAGTACAAGTGAATTTGTAATTTAAAACAGCTGACGGACACCTGTTGTGAGGTCAACTAGCTCCCCCCCCCCCCTCCAGCTGCGATAGGAGTAATTAACTTGGGGTCGGACACGATAAACTATGCATTTTGTGTTTACCTGGGTAAAGAAACACCCGTCTAAGTTACAGGTCGCGTGGTTAAATTACGGAAGGTTGATTGGATGACGATTATATTTTTGTCATCAAAGCGAAAACGACTGAAAATAAATGATTATGTTACTGTTTATATTCGTTTCAAAGTGTCAAAGCTTAGGTCTGCCTCATTACCATTCGTCTACTCTGTTGAACATTCGTTGTGCATCAAATATGAAGATAATAATTGTTCTGCAGCTAAAGGCAGATTTTTGACGATGAGTCAGCCTGAGCCTTAAAGCTAATATTATTCTAAACATTATAGGAATTGAATGGAAATGTAATTCATATATTTATTGTACTACGTTTTCAGATTATTCAAATATAACGAATAAAAAAAATACTGTTTTTATTATAATATATTGTAAAATATATTGTAGGGAAAAAGTCGTGTTTTCATCCCTCGGATATAACTAATCATCAGTCAAGGGCATCTATTGGATAATTGTTCCCATAACATTTGATGATTCATACAAAGAAAATCGTTTCTAGTGATAAATATACTACCCTTATTCAAATCGATTCATATTTTGATCGCGTTATATTGTAGATTGTACGATGATAAACTACTCTTTTGACGATATTGGGAATAATTGTAAAATAGTAAACATGTTTTTTCTGTATAATTGAATACAAGCTGTACAACTCTGTTTTGTTGGCGTATCAATATGTGTCTTCACAAGACGAGATAGAAGAATACCTCCGTAATGGCTATTACTGTTGTTAATAGCAACAAAACAATAAGTAAAAAATTCGTTGAGATAACTAACAAGGGTGGACAAAATCTACAACTCTGGTTTCGTGAAACAGTTGGCCTAAAGAAGATAGGCAGTTGGCGAAAAGATAAAACAGATCATCGCAACGACTTGTAATACTTCGACCCTCTCTAATTTTCCGATAAGCTCCTGACGATGAGAAAATCTTAAATTAGTTATGAAATATGCTATTTAAAGTTATTATTTTAGAAAGTTTCTTTATTAGAATAACAATTAAGACAACATTGAGAAAAGTAGGGAATTTATAATCCACAAATTTTAGTGCGACTGGTTTAAAATGTGTTTTTCGAATGGGTATATCCCAAATAAATTTTAAATTACAATAATTCCAAAAATAATATGCATTAGATCTTTCAGTAAGTTAAAACTGATTAATATCAAGCACTTTTATTGTTCTTTGAAAATCACACAGTTTTGGAAATGAAAACACTATAAAATGAAAACTTCTATAAAAAACTACGGAACCTTAAAATGGTATTTATTTCATTTCATTTCATTTATTCATTCCGACGGTAATCGCCATTTTACAAAATAATACATCAAGATTTACATACAACAAGATAATACAATATAATACAACAGACAAGATAATACAATAGAAAACATCAATAAAGGAGTAAGTAAGAAGTTTGGTGGTGGTGGTGGACAGTTTGAGTGAATTGCAACAGTTACAACATTGTGAAAAAAGTAACAATAACAAGAAACAGTGTAAATAATTAACATCAATAACAATAACAAGAAAAATTGTGAATAGTAAACATCAATAACAATAAAAAGAAACAGTGTAAATAATTAACTACAATAACAATAAGTGTGAATATTTACATCAATAACAATCAGTAGCCATCAAAATGACAACATTGTGGATAATTAACATTAATAAATTTACTAAACATAACAATAATAGACTATGGCAATGATAACAATATAATAAACTGTGAAAGAGCTAACGTAACATAAAAACAAAACTATATAACAAAAGGATGGATCTGGTATCTTAATTAAACACAAAAAGTAATCTAATGATGTACAACAGACGTTTCTACTTAAAGCCTTTTATAGACTTACGTCATCAATATTATCAAGGTGACAAACTTTTTACTTTCAGTCAATTAAAACTACAACATGGCTCTGCATTTAATGCACTCAAATTAATTGACTTTAGCGTAGAGCCATGTGGGTGGAATGTATGTGCAAAGTCTCAGGCGATTCAAATGTATGTGTTATTTCTAATGGGAGAATTTCATATACTTTTCAACGTCCGTACGTCCGACCACTT